GCGACAGGGTGTGTCTGTGGCTTTGGAGGCTGACCTGGAACTAGCTCTTGTAGAATAGGATGGTCTTGAACTCACAGAGGTCCGACTGCCTCTGCCTCCCAAGTGTTGGGATTAAAGGTGTGTGCCACCAACGCCCAGCACCTACATGTTTTAATAATTAAAAATATAAATGTTTCTTCCTTTGTGCAAAGAAATATAAGGAAAAAGGTACATTATTGTGTTCATCTTTGAAAGTCATTTTTTAAAAGATTTTATTTATTTATTATGTATACAACATTCTGCTTCCTGTATATCTGCACACCAGAAGAGGGCACCGGGTCTCATAACGGATGGTTGTGAGCCACCATGTCGTTGCTGGGAATTGAACTCAGGACCTCTGGAAGAGCAGTCAGTGCTCTTAACCTCTGGGCCATCTCTCCAGCCCTGAAAGTCATTTTTATAAATTTTATTTCTTGAGAAATAACATGTGCACAGTTCAATATAATCATGTCTATACCCCATTTCCCTCCTCCAACTTCCCCATCTGCCCCCCACTATGTTTCCCTCACAACATCTTTTTGTGGGTGGTGGTGGTAAGTTCAATTAGTCCTGGCCCAGTGAAGCTTTGAAAGACCTGTCACTGGGAAGCCAGCAGCTCCTCAGTAAAGGCTGGGGCCTGCAGCGCCTCCCCCATCTATGCCAGAATAGCTGGCTTGAGCTTACACGGGTCGTGTGGTGGTAACTAAAGCTATGAGTTCATGAGTGAGACATGTCATATCCAGAAAACAGCATTTCACAGCACTCCTCCCTATCTTCCAGCCTGTATGCCTTCTGTCTCCTCTTCCTCAAGGTTCTCTAAGACTGGAGTGTGTGTGTGATAAAAATGTCCCATTAGGGGCTGGGATATATGTGGTGGAGCAGGTGTTAGTATTCAGGCATCTGTACTAGCCAGTCCTTGGGGTTCTGACAGGATATGTACGCCCTCAGCTGCAGCCACTAAGCACCACCTGTGCACATTCGCTACGTTCCCTTTTAGAAGGGCCCTGCCTGCCTCCCATCCCCCCACCCCCACTTCTCTGCCTGTCTCTCTGGGTTTGAGGTCAGCTTGGTCTACAGAGCTAGTTCCAAGACAGCTAGGGCTGTTATACAGAGAAATCTTGTCTCAAAGGAGAGAAAAAAGTGCCCTCTCTCCCTGTTTCTCTTTCTAAGGTAACTCCTGTCAACATTTTTGTAATTCTTCCTATAAAGTAAAACCATGTACCCAGTGCTGAATTGTAGAATCGTGCTTACAGCTGTCAGTCTAACCCCAGCCAAGTTGCCTTCCTTTTGGTGGAGGTGGTGGGACTTTCTTTAATTTGTTAAAGTTAACCTCCCAAACTCTGCCACGGGTGGACCTAGAGGCTCACATTTCAGTTGGACACAATTATACTCTAGTAAAAACAATTCAACAGATGTGTCTGATTGGCAATGAAGACATAGCTGAGGGATTTGTCACTTGTGGCAGCAGCGAGCAGACCCTAAATATGATTTGAGATTCTTTGCTTAGCTCCCTGAATTTTATGCAGTTTGCAGCACATTACCTGGGCTAGGCCAAGTACTTGTGGGTTTGATGACCTGCTTCAGTTTGTCCTATTGTCATTCCTGGGCTTGGCTTCCTACATGGTAGACAAGTGCTCTCCCACCGAGCCATGTTCCTTAAAGGGGCCTCCCTGTTGCTGGATTTTCTTGTCTTGCCTGGTCCCGCCGCTGTTTCAGCCCCAAATAAGCACACAAAGACTTGATTATTAAACTATTGGCCTGTAGTTAGGGCTTCTTACTGGCTAGCTCTGTCTTAATTATTAACCCATTTCTATTAATCTGTGTATTTCCACGTGATCTTATCTTACGGGTGAACACCTGGTGTGTTCTCTCTTCACAGTCCTTACATGGTGACTCTCTGGCTGACTCCCTCTACCTACCTTTCCCAGAATTCTCCTAGTCCCACCTATCTTCCCTCCTCATTGGCCAAACAGTGTTTTATTCATCGACCAATCAGAGAAACATATATACAGAAGGACATCCCCCATCACATCCCACTTCTGATTTGGTGTATTTCTTTCAAAGCGAGGGAACTGTCCCAGTGTCTGCACAGAGGTCCTCCATGCATCTTCCCCTCACACCCCAGGGAACGGTCTACACCTGTGTCACCAATTGCATCTTTCACTTAATACATCATTAAAAATTGTTTTTATGTGTATGTGTGTTTTGCCTACATGTATATAAGTGTACTGCATGTGTGCCTGGTGCTGGGAGAGGCCAGAAGAGACCACCAGATTCCCTGGAATTGGAGTTAAGGACGCTTGTGAGCTGCTGTGTGGGTGCTGGACCTGAACTCGGGCCCCCTGCACGAGCAGTATGTGCTCTTGGCTGCTGGGTTCTCTCTGCAGCCGTCTTCCTGAAAAAGATTTATACCAGACTTACAGCCCTGGAGGGGAAGATATTTTTAAACTTTGAGGTTCTTTTCACTGGTAATGAATAATTCCTCACTTTCCATTTTTCTTTTGTCTTTTTCTGTCTGGTTTCCCAGGAAGGTGTTTGGGGTTAGTGGGGTGCTAGAATCTCACATCCAGACGAGGACCCCCTTACACTGCGACTCTCTGTAATGACACTCTAGCACTCCTCCTGCTGTCAGAAGTAAACTGCTTCTCTCGCCAGGTTCTCTCATCTACCAAACATCCCGTGTGTTGTCGGGGCTATAAAATGGGATGCTTCTGCAGACTGGTAGAAAGCTCTTCAGTGTTCCTCTTCTGTCTCACAGTCCCTGCTGATGTCTGTCTGTCCTGTTTTATTTCCCCTCCAGGGAAAGCCATATGTCTTTGACCGTGTGTTCCCCCCAAATACGACTCAGGAGCAAGTTTATCATGCGTGTGCTATGCAGATCGTTAAAGGTAAGAGACTTGTCTCCTGGATGTACCCCCACACACACACACACAAACGATTGCCGCCCCCCTCCCCCACCAGATCTCTTTCACTGCCTTCTCTTCCAGACGTCCTTGCTGGCTACAACGGCACAATTTTTGCTTATGGACAGACATCCTCAGGGAAAACACATACCATGGAGGTGAGGATTCTGACTTGGGGGTTGAGGAATTCGAGGAAGGCCCGAAGAAGATCAAGAATCCTTTACTGGGGACGATGCAGGAATGGAGGGCTGGCTGAGTCACAGGCAGATGGGTCCAGAGGATGAATGACAAGCAGTGTGGTGGGGGAGACTTAGAGGGATCCCTTTAGCCTGCCCACTTTCCCTCCCTCCGTGACCCCAGCTGTCTTTTTCTGACCCTGAAAAGCGGAAGTGGGGTCCAAATGGAAGCTCAGTTACCAGCTTCCATTCGGAGGCGGACATGGCAGTGACCATCTTCCTGTGACTCCTTGCCTCCGTGTCCCCTGCCTGCCTCTGAGTTGTCTCAGCGCCAGCCTTACTCTGGTATGCCTTTCCCCTCTCAGGGAAAGCTGCATGACCCCCAGCTAATGGGAATCATCCCTCGGATTGCTCGAGACATCTTCAACCACATCTACTCCATGGACGAGAACCTTGAATTCCATATTAAGGTGATCAGCAGATGACCTCTGGGGGCCCCAGATGGAGACTGGGATGGAAAAGCCTAGAATGAGCCAGCTAAAGCTCTACTCTCCCCTCTGGTTACCTCAACTTCTCACCAAGGTGCCCTCTCCTCACTGTGCTAGCCACCACACTTCTTGAGCCAGTCACATTGGTTTGGGATTCCTGTGTTAGATTTAAGATCACCCTCTTGGAGCTGGAGAGATGGCTCAGAGGTTAAGAGCATTGGTTGTTCTTCCAGAGAACCTGGGTTCAATTCCCAGCGCCCACATGGTGACTCACAACCATCTCTAACTCCAGTTCCCAGGGATCTGATGGGCTCTTCTCAAACCATGCATGCACATGATATACAGACATACAAACACACAAAACATTCATAAAATTAAAATAACAGGACATCTCACATTGTCCCCTTTCTTCCCAACCAGGTTTCTTATTTTGAGATTTACCTGGATAAGATCCGAGACCTTTTGGATGGTGAGTACCTGGGCTCAGTGGGTAAAGGTATACGAGGAGGCTGAGGGCAGAGAGACCACCTTTATCCAGAGTTTGGTTGCAGGTGGGCATCCAGGACATGCCTCTTCACACCAGAGTCCTCTGGCTCTGTCCCTCCACAGACTTTCAGTCAGGGATGGTGGCGCTTGCCTGGAAGCCTAGGCTGAGGCAGGAGGGTTGTGGTTTTTGAGGCCACTCTGGGCAACTTAGCAAGATTGTGTCTCAAAAGGAAAAAATAAAAATAGGTGGGAGGAGGTGAGTGGTGGAGCCTACGACGTAGCAGGAGTGGTGCCTTATGTTCAAACCCTAATTAATAGGGCAAAACAGAGACAGGAAGTGGAAGAGGGGTGGGGATACAGGGCAGGAGGCAAAGTGTTTTTCTAGCACGAGTGAGGTTCTGCATTCAACCCCCTGTACTACAGAAGTAAAAAAAATTCCCCAAAGCCTGGGAGAGTTGGGGGATGAGCTTAAGGCTCAGCCCTTACACATACAGAGCCTGTGAGGAGGGAAGGAATAGAATCTCCCCTTGCTCGTGGCCTTTGGGTTTCCCTGGGGAATCTTCCTGCAGGGTACCTAGGGGTGGGTGGGAACTGGTCTCTCTCACCCTGCTGTATCTTGATTCAGTGACCAAGACAAACCTGTCTGTGCACGAGGACAAAAACCGGGTGCCCTTTGTCAAGGTGAGAGCAGGCTGGGTTCTCGTGTGCAACTCGGGTGTCAAGAGCCTGGGAGGAGGGGTCAGTGACCAGACGATGGGTGAGTGAGATCAAAATGTACAGTCCCTGCTATTTGCCTCCTACAGGGTTGTACCGAGCGCTTTGTGTCCAGCCCAGAAGAGATTTTGGATGTGATTGATGAAGGGAAGTCGAACCGTCATGTAGCTGTCACCAGTGAGTGGGGAGATAAAGAGCTCTTGGGTTTGGAGGTCTTCTCGAGTCTCTCCTGTGTCTACTGGGGGCAAGCAAGCAGGGGGGAGGGGCCTCCTGCCTGTGTAGCCTGCTGCCTAGGAGATGGCACAGTAGGTCCTGGTTCTCCCTCGGTGAGTGGAGTGGCAGCTCATGGGCACTGTGGCTGGGGGCTGCAGCCCTGCAGGGGTGGACTGAGCAGAAGCTCAGTGGGAAGCTGTACCTGGTGGACCTGGCCGGGAGCGAGAAGGTTGGGAATTTGGAGGAAGGTGGGGTGAGGGGTTGAAAAGGAATCCTCCAGGGGAAGCTTTGCCTTTTTAAATTTTGGGGCTGGAGAGATGGCTCAGCAGTTAAGAGTACTGACTGTTCTTCCAGAGGACCCCGGTTCAATTCCCAGCACCCATATGGCAGCTCACAACTGTCTGCAATTCTAGTTCTAGGGGGTCTGATACCTTCACCCCAATGTCCATAAAATAAAGGTTAAATTTTTAAAAAGTTAAATATTTAAAAAGTTAAATTTTGAGAACAGGCGGTGATGGCACATACCTTTAATCCCAGCACTTGGGAGGCAGAGGCAAGTGGATCCCTCTGAGTTCGAGGCCAACCTGGTCTACAGAACTTGTTCCAGGACAGCCAGGGCAACACAGAGAAACCCTGTCTTAAGAAGCCAGAAAACAACAACAACAAAACAAAAATTAAAGTCGAAAGAAAACTAAATTTGGCCATGTGTGGTGGTACTACAACTTTCATGCCAGCACCTGGGAAGAACAGGCAGATAGTACGAACCCTCCCCAGGAATAAGCAAATATTTCACCATTGAACTATACCACAGGAAATTGGCTCAGTAGGTACAATTACAACACTTGCTGTGCAAGCCTGAGGACCTGAGTTCAGATCTCCAAAAGTCATAAAGCCAGGCATGGTGATTCAGGTCTGCAATTCTAGGGCCCCTACAGTTAGAGGAGGTGGTGTAAGCAGCAGCAGTGAACAACCTTAAGATAGAACCAACACCTGAGGTTGTCCCCTGATCACACACATGCTGTGGCATGCTCACACTGTCCCCTACCCTGTCCCACATCACACACACACACACACACACACACACACACACACACACACACGCTTATAATCCAAGGCTGGGAACATAGCTCCTTTGGTAGAGGGATGAAACCTTGGATTTGGTCTCTCTAGCACTGCATAAGTACGGCATACTGGTACACCCCTGTCATCCCAGCCACTTGAAAGATGGAGGTAGGAGGATCCGAAGCCCATCATTGACAACATAGGAGTTTGACTAGTCTGGATGAGTCACCTTGTCTCAAACAAAACAAAACATGGGGCTTGGGAGATGCTTAGTTGGTAAACTGCTTGCTTTACTAGCATAAGGACCCAAGCATGGTGGTGCATGCCTGCAATTCTAGCATCAGGGAGGTGGAGACAGGCAGATCCTTGGGACTCACTGGCCAGCTAGCATAGCTTAATCAGAAAGTTTCCCTTCCCAGTGAGAGTCCTTTGCAAAAAACAAAACAAAACAAACAAACAAACAAACAAAAAACCAATGTGTCAATTTCTGAGGAACAACACCCAAGTTGACCTGTGGCTCTATACATATGTGCACCTGCAAAAACACAGAACACACAAAACAATTCTGGGTCAGGAGTGGTGGTCTACATTTGTAATCCCTGCAGCCGGCTGAACAAGATTGGGCTACATGAGTATGAAGACAGACTGGGCTACACAGTGAGACCCCCACCCACCCTCACCCCCAAACAATCCAGTCAGATTCTCCTCAAAATCATATACTGTCGATACTGTCAAGTTCTAGAACATTTTCCTTACCCAACAGTTACTGCCCATTCTCCCCACTACCCATCCATTCCCTGGAAACCACAGATTTACCTTCTGGCTTTGAGTTTGCCAATCCTGAATATTTCATATAAATAAATGATAATGTATAACTTATATACACTGTCATGGTAAGAGGCATCCACAAGAGAGTTCAGGGGAAGGGAGGAGGAGAGTCTCCCTGATCCTGGCTGAGCATCTCTCTACCTCTTCTCCATTCCCTCCCTCTTTTTGGGCTTGGCCCTTCTAAGTGGAAAGACGTGATGACAGTGTGTGAACTCTCCCTGACACACTTGTCCTGTAACCCTCTGACAGGTCAGCAAGACTGGGGCGGAGGGGGCTGTGCTGGATGAGGCCAAGAATATCAACAAGTCACTGTCAGCCCTGGGGAACGTCATCTCCGCCCTGGCTGAGGGCACTGTAAGTGTTCCCTAGGTCACTGCTGTCCCCCCTCAATCTCTTCCCTGTCTCCCCCGTTTCTCGTCATGCCCCAATCTGTGGGCTGTTCAATCCTCAGTGAGCACCACTTTCCCTCATTACCCCGTTGAAATGATTTTTCTCATTCATGTCTGCCGCCTGCTCTAGAAAAGCTACGTGCCGTACCGTGACAGCAAAATGACGCGGATTCTCCAGGACTCTCTGGGAGGGAACTGCAGGACCACCATGTTCATCTGCTGCTCACCGTCCAGCTACAATGATGCCGAGACCAAGTCCACTCTGATGTTCGGGCAGCGGTCAGTGTCAGGGCCCCCAGAAGGGGTCCCAGGTGCCCTGCCCCGTCTCATCCCTTGCTACCCCCACTCCACCACCAAAGACCAATGTGAGACTCATCTTCACTCAGGGCAAAGACCATTAAGAACACCGCCTCCGTCAATCTGGAGTTGACTGCTGAGCAATGGAAGAAGAAATATGAGAAGGAGAAGGAGAAGACCAAGGCCCAGAAGGAGACGATTGCAAAGCTGGAGGCCGAGCTAAGCCGGTGGCGCAATGGTTAGAGAGGGAGCCCCCCATGGGAGTAAGAGGCGAGGCCTAGGGACAGCCCCACCTGGGAGTGTTTAAGGCCAGCAACAATCTCTAGGAAGCAAGGCTGTTTCTGGAAGTGAATAAACGGATCACCTATGAGATCCTCTAGAGGTGGGGGGAGGATGAGATCCTGGCTCTGAGGAGGAGTTAGGAAGGGTGGGTGTAAGCATGCATCTCTCTCTTCCCCACCTATAGCCAGGGTATCTGCTCTGAGGGTGCGGGGAAGGCCTGGCGGCAGGAGCCTGAGGTAGCTGCTCACATTGCACCTGTAGTCAGGAAACAGATGAGAGCTAGTGTGCTACTATTTCCTCTTCCTCATTCAGTCTAGACACCAGTCCATGGGATGGTCCTGCCCACCTTTAAGGCGGATCTGCCCACTTGAACTAACTCAGTCTGGAAAACCCCTCTTAGACGTCCAGAGCTTTGTCTCATAGGTGATGCTGGATACTGTGAGGTTGATAATATTAACATTCACGTGTCTTTCCTTTCCTTCTGTCCATCTGTCAGGAGAGAATGTGCCTGAGACTGAGCGCCTGGCTGGGGAGGGTTCAGCCCTGGGAGCTGAGCTATGCGAGGAGACCCCCGTGAATGACAACTCATCCATTGTGGTCCGCATCGCACCTGAGGAGAGGCAGAAATATGAGGAAGAGATCCGCCGCCTCTACAAACAGCTTGATGACAAGGTGAAGGCAGTTGGGCAGGGTGCTGAAGGCTAAGAACTTAAAAGTGAAGTGCTACAGTCCCAGAAGGAAGCCTTCCTCTTCATGTGTGAGCTTCCCAACGCATAGCGGCACTCTGATTTTTAAGGGACCTCCTTCTTCCTCTGGTCCTGGCACTCTGAAATGGGAGAAGTAGCCCTCACCATCCCCTCTTGCCTCTGACAGGATGATGAAATCAACCAGCAGAGCCAGCTCATTGAGAAACTGAAGCAGCAGATGCTGGACCAGGAAGAGGTAACAGCCTTAGTGAGAACCCAGAGGAAGGGCTTTGTCTTCATCCCTGCAAATCCAAAAAGGCTTCTTTAACCCAGGGTGGGAGGAGCTGAGGATGTGGAAGCTCGGTTGGCAGAGTGTGGGCAGAGCATTCGTGAAGCTCTGTCTGTGGTTGATCCCCAGCATATCACAAACCAGATGTGGCGGCCCACACCTGTAATCTGGCGGGTGAGCGTGCATACACACACACACACACACACACACACACTCACACACTCACACACGCATACACGCCTGTAATCTGGTGGGTGAGCGTGCACATACATACACACACACACACACACACACACACATGCACGCACGCACACACACACACGCATGCACGCCTGTAATCTGGTGGGTGAGCGTGCACATACATACACACACACACACACACACACACACACACACACACGCACGCACGCACACACACACGCATGCACGCCTGTAATCTGGCACATGCCTGCAATCTGACACACGTGTGTAATTGGATGGAAGCTCAAGGTCATTCTTGGCTATAAACACTTGGATACATGGAACTTTATCCAAAAAAAAAAAAAAAAAGGCATGGATGAATGGGCATTCTACTTCCTGGCTAATGACCTATGAAAATAGTTGCAATCTGGAAACTTCTCTTAGGAAGCTGAGTCAAGAAGATCAGAGTTCAAGGCTAACCTTGGCATGGTAGTGCACACCTTTTATTATAGTTTTAAAAAGAGGCTCAAGAGAGAAAGATGCCATGGTGACAGAGCTCATGAGGAGGGGTTTTTTAATTAGGGGAAAAGGAATGGGAAAAGGGGGGGGGAGGAGACCAGCCTCTGGGGACAGGAGCAGCAGAAGAGAAGGGGGGAGAGGCAGAGATAGGCAGAGAAACAGAGAGAGAGAGAGATGAGAGGTGGGCAGGGCTCTTTTAAAAGGAACATAGTGAATGTGCACAGGTTGTGCTCTCTTAGTGGCTGCAGCTGAGGGCGTATCCTGTCAGAACCCCAACGGCAGGCCAGTACAGATGCCTGAATACTAACACCTTTGATCCCAGCACTTAAGAGACAGAGGCAGGTGGATCTCCGAGTTTGAGGCCAGCCTGGTCTACCAGAGTGAGTTCCAGGACAGCCACAGCTATTACACAGAGAAACCCTGTCTCAAAAAATAAACAAACTAACTAAAAAGAGTTCAAGCCTGTTTGAAGTCACATAGTGGCCGGCCAGGTTGTTCTTCAAGTCCAGATGATGGAGTCCAGGTGCTTTTCCATTCTGGTTAACGAGGTCTGATGCTCTCATCACCTTGACTTGTACTTCAAGCGTGTGCCGGGGGTGTGTTGGAGCTTAGCTAGGGCCCACGAGGCGATCACTGAGAGAGAGCTGTCTCACATGCCCTGCCTCTTCCTCTAAGCTGCTGGTGTCTACTCGGGGAGACAACGAGAAGGTCCAGCGGGAGCTGAGCCACCTGCAGTCTGAGAACGATGCAGCAAAGGATGAGGTGAAGGAGGTGCTGCAGGCCCTGGAGGAGCTGGCGGTCAACTATGACCAGAAGTCCCAGGAGGTGGAGGAGAAGAGCCAGCAGAACCAGCTGCTGGTGGATGAACTGTCCCAGAAGGTGGTAAGTGGCTGGGGAGTGGCCTGAGGGTGCCCTAATCTCAGAATGCCGCTGCTTCCTGCCGTGGCTGTATGCTGGGCTCTTCCTGCACTGGTGTTCAGCGTGTCGAGACGCCCTCCCCCGCCCTGCCTCTGCAATGTGCCCTTCTCTCTTCCAGAGGCTTCTGCAGGGTCTGTGTTCTCTCCATAGAAGCCCTCAGAGCCTTACATGATATGAGAGGCTCTGGGAAAGGGGAGCAGGAGGATGGCAATGGTAATGATCTTAGGGGCTGTCCCTAGGCTACCATGCTGTCCCTGGAGTCTGAGCTACAGCGGCTCCAGGAGGTCAGTGGACACCAGCGAAAACGGATCGCTGAGGTGCTGAATGGGCTGATGAAGGACCTGAGTGAGTTCAGTGTCATCGTGGGCAATGGTGAGATTAAGCTGGTAAGTGGGGGACATGGCAGTGCCGTTCAGGGTACTCTTGCTCTGGCGCTGGGGAGAGAGGCGTGGTGGGACAATCCATCCTTTTAGGGTACTGAGAAAGGCAGGTGAAAGAACCAGATGTGATACCACACATCTGTAATCCCAGCATTTGGGAGACTGAAGCAGGGAAAACAAGAGTTCTAGGCCAGCCTGGGCAAGCAGAGTCCACTTTTTTTTAAGTTGACAAAAAAAAAAAAATTCCTCAGATTAGACACAGAAAGACAGATTTGTAGGAACAACTGAGAAGACATTCTAAAGGGTTCACATATAGGAGAGAGAGAGAGACAGAAGAGAGAGTGGGGGGAGAGAGAGAAGAGAGAGATTGATTCCTGTAGGGCTGGGTCTAGAGGTGGAGGTGACACAGGGTGGGAATGACATCTGTGCATAAGAAAATGACCCCATTGGAAGTCAGGTGGTGGCGCACGCCTTTAATCCCAGCACTCAGGAGGCAGAGGCAGGCGGACCTCTGTGAGTTTGAGGCCAGCCTGGTCTACAGAGTGAGTTCCAGGACACCAGGGCTACACAAAGAAACCCTGTCTTGAAAAACAAAACCCCAAAACAAAGAAAAGAGAAGAAAAGAAAAGACAACCCATTGGGGTTATCAGGCAGAGTTAGTTTATCTACAAAAGAAAGTCCAGCTTGGTGTAGGGTGTCCAACTGTAATCCCAGTCCTCCAGAGGCTGACACAGGCAAAGCATCTAAACCCAGGGGTTGGGACTGGCATGGGCAATGCAGCAAACAAAAGACTGGTCAATTTTTAAGGTGAAGGGAAGATTCTCAGAATCCAACATCTGAATGTCAGCGGAGGCTTCCAAGTGAAATGTTAGTTGATAGGAGCCATGTCTTACAGTTGCTGGGATAAAACACCGAGACCAAAAGCAGAGGGGTGGGGAGGAAAGGGTCTGTTTTTGGCTTACATATGCCAAGTCACAGTCTACTGAGGGAACCCAAAAGCAGGAATGCAAACCTGGGGGCAGGAGCTGATGTAGAGGCCGCAGAGTGGTGCTGATTATTGGTTGCTTCCCCTGGCTTGTTCAGCCTGTTTTCTTATAGAACCCAGGACCACCAGCCAGGGATGGCACTGCCCACAATGGGCTGGTCCCTCCCCATCACTCATTAATTAAAAAAATGTCCTTATAGGCTTTCCCCCAGCTGGGGTTTTTTTTTAAATTTTTTTTTTTTTTTATGTATACAACATTCTGCTTCCATGTATATCTGCACACCAGAAGAGGGCACCAGATCTCATAACGGATGGTTGTGAGCCACCATGTGATTGCTGGGAATTGAACTCAGGACCTCTGGAAGATCAGTCGGTGCTCTTAACCTCTGAGCCATCTCTCCAGCCCCACAGTGGGATCTTATTAGGCATTTTCTCAGTCAAGGTTCCCTCCTCTCAGATGACTCTAGCTTGTGTCAAGTTGACATAAAACTAGTCAGCACATCCTGCTAAAAGGTGTTCAGGAATTCCCAGCTTCCTTGAGTACCTGCCACGGGGTGTGATTCAGGCAGGCAAGGGCGAAGGATGTAGGTTTACGCTTTCTGCCTCAGAAGCAGCTCTTTCTCCTCTGCTCACTCCCAGCCAGTGGAGATCAGTGGGGCCATCGAAGAGGAGTTCACAGTGGCCCGACTCTACATCAGCAAAATCAAATCCGAGGTTAAGTCTGTGGTCAAGCGGTGTCGGCAGCTGGAGAACCTCCAGGTGGAATGTCATCGCAAGATGGAGGTGACTGGTAGGGAGCTGTCATCCTGCCAGCTGCTCATCTCACAGGTGAGCGTCTGTGTGAGAAAGGCTATTCTGTGGTATAGAAAAACTCCTGGACGGGTGGTGGTGGCGCATGCCCGCTGGGTCTCTGAGTTTGAGGCTAGCCTGGTCTACAGAGCAAGTTCCAGTACAGAGCTACACAGAAAAAATCAAAACAAACAAAAAACTTCCCAACACCCACCTTCATGTCAGTATCTTGGGTCAATGGAGATCCTAAAGAACTGGGATGATATTAGGGAGGATCCAGCCCAGGGGTGGGAATCTCGGGGAGAGGGGGGGGAATACTGTCCTTTGATCTGATTGTCTGCAGAAAGCATCTCCATAGGAATGGCCCCTGACCTGTGTTATCGAGAGTGCAGCAGGAGGGGATGGCATGGAAGGAGAGCTGCAGTTTACAGTGCTAGACCCTTGTACCCTTTGTCTCCTATATGCCCTCGACCTTCCCTTACTAGCACGAGGCCAAGATCCGTTCGCTTACGGAATACATGCAGAGTGTGGAGCTGAAGAAACGGCACCTGGAAGAGTCCTATGACTCCCTGAGCGATGAGCTAGCCAAGCTTCAGGCGCAGGGTGAGGCCTTCTTAGGTCTGTCCCAGTCACCATTGGATCTGAGGTCCCAGAAGGGACTGGAAAGGAAAGTCATCTGCATTGGAAGAAATGACCCAATAGCCTCTTGGTTAGCATAGGCTTGAGTGTCCGCTCATATGCTACTTAACATGTAGCCTGGCTTTTGCATGTAGCTCATTTTATATGAACCATAGACCCTCTGTTGTTTCCCATCCCTGATAAGTCGGTCACATTGGACCGTCCTAACCCAGAACATCCCTAGGCACCCATCCCCCGAGGCCTGGAGCTCTGGAATCATGAAGCTGTCTGCCTCTTTTGCTTAGAAACTGTGCATGAAGTAGCCCTGAAAGACAAGGAGCCAGACACACAAGATGCAGAGGAAGTGAAGGTGAGCTGGGTGGTATGCTTGGCAGGGCAAGGGCTGTGCTGACTGTCAGCCACGGAGTCTGGCTCTGAGCATAGGACTGGGGTTGTTTGCAGAAGGCCCTGGAACTGCAGATGGAGAATCACCGTGAGGCCCATCACCGGCAGCTGGCCCGCCTCCGGGATGAGATCAATGAGAAACAGAGGACCATTGATGAGCTTAAAGAGTAAGCGTCCTAGAGGGTGGCTCCAGTGTCCCTCCAGTCCCCTCATCTCGTGTGGCCACTCCAGTGATCCTTAATGTCCAAGGTCATTTCCTCAACAATGACATACTTCAAAGACCAACTTCAAGAGACGAAAGGTGGTTGAGAGCACTGGCTGCTCTTCCAGAGGACCTGGGTTTGATTTCTAGCACCCACATAGTGGCTCACAGCCATCTGTAACTCCAGTCTCAGGGGATCCAACACCCTCTCCTGGCCTCCTCAGGTACCAGGCATTCATGTAGCACAAAGACATACAGGCAGACAAAACACACACATGAAAAAAAATTAATTAAAAAAAAAAGAAAAAAACACACAAAGTTAGAATTAGCCCTGTCTTTGAGGCTTTTATAGTCGGAGCACTCAGGGTCCCATGGTTTCCTGAAAATGGTAGCTGTGTTTATCCCCATACCTGAGGGGTGGGGCTTCCCTTTTCTCCCTTTTAGTGTTTCTGTCTCTTCCATGCCCTCACTAGCCTGAACCAGAAACTGCAGTTGGAGCTGGAGAAGCTTCAGGCTGATTATGAGCGGCTGAAGAATGAAGAGCATGAGAAGAGCGCCAAACTCCAGGAGCTGACGTGAGTACATGTTCACCAGCAGGCTGGGGACCGTGATGCAGATGAACTTACAGATGCAAGATGGACGCATGGTGGCCTCTATGAGGACAATCACAGGAAGCAAGCATGAAGGGGTGGGGAGAGAGGAAAGGAGACCAGCAGAAATGACTGCCAGGCCCGGGCGTGGTGGCGCACGCCTTTAATCCCAGCACTCGCACTCAGGAGACAGAGGCAGGCAGAGTCTGAGGCCAGTCTGGTCTACAGAGCAAGTTCCAGGACAGTCAGAATTGTTAAGTATGCAAATCGGGTCTTGAAGCAATACAGAGGGTATGGTCTTAAGAAACTTTGGATTTGGCTAGTTATAAGCATGAAAAAGATGGTTGGCAAGGATGGACACCTTGTAGTTATATCTGTAAATAACAGAATCACGGCCTTTCATCAGATCTTAACTCTCTTTTAAGGATTCCTTTCTGGTTAATTTGTGTAAGAAACAATGGTAAAAATGAAGGGACTGTAGGGGGAGAAGCATCCTGAGGGGTCTTTCTTGTCTGTCTGTCTGTCCATTACTTCTCTTGCTACAGATTTCTGTACGAGCGACATGAGCAGTCCAAGCAGGACCTCAAGGGGCTGGAGGAGACAGTTGTGAGTGGTTTCCCTCTGTGCCAAATTAGCAGAGTAGGAGGTGGCTCCCTGTCCTCCCCACTTTTCACTAGTCTGTTTCTCCTGACCTTAAATCTGTGGCATAGTCAGGGTGTGACTGCTCATCTGGGTGACCGACCCATCTGACCTTGTAGACTGAGGGTTTCAATGACTGTAGAGGGGGAAGGCAGACCCTATATCCAGCCATCCTCAATTTCGAATTATTCATTTTAGGCCCGGGAACTCCAGACCCTCCACAACCTTCGCAAGCTGTTCGTTCAAGACGTCACGACTCGAGTCAAGAAAGTGAGTGCCATCCTCAAGTCTCCTGGACCACCCAGTACTCTCCTCCCCTTCTTGGGATTCTCCAGCTTGCTGTCCCCTGTGGGGTTTGTTTGGTTTGGCCTCAGGACAGCCATGTCTTTCTTCCCTTCCATCTGATCAGAGTGCAGAAATGGAGCCCGAGGACAGTGGGGGGATTCACTCCCAGAAACAGAAGATCTCCTTTCTTGAGAACAACCTGGAACAGCTTACAAAAGTTCACAAACAGGTAAGCGTCCAGAAGGGGATGGAGAGATCCCGAGGCAAGGCCCCGGTGCTACCCAAATCCAAAAGGCCCCCCTTGGATTTGGAACGAGCCAGCTAGCTTTGTGCAGTCCTTAGCTTTCTCTTCTTTTCACTGATCCCCTTCTTGGTATCCTATCTGGATCCATGTGCTCACTGCACACTGATCTTTCTCTGTACCTGTTCTCCCTTCTTCAGAGTTTCAGCTTATCTTTTCGTGAAGGGGAAGTCCCAGCCCTGCCTCCGAGGAAGAGGTTGAAATGTGTAGAAGTTGCAGAGACACAGGGTCTATCCTACGGAGGAGGGCTATCCTACGGAGGAGGGCTATCCTATGGAGGAGGGCTATCCTATGGAGGAGGGCTATCCTACAGAGGAGGGCTATCCTATGGAGGAGGGCTATCCTACGGAGGAGGGCTCTGAGGTCACTATGAGCAGAGGGCTTGCCTAGGTTGCACGAGGCCCTGTGGGGCAATCTCTAGGACTGTGGTGCGGTTGGGGTCAGGCATAAAAGTACTAGATTTCAGATAGGGGTATAGGGAAGACAAAGGGAATTGGGTTTTTCTTAGCAAAAACAACTCCATTTGCCCACCTGGGGCAGGTATGCAGGACATTAAATGATGTTTTTCACATGACCCCCTAGTAGGGGCCAGTCAGACCCCTGCATTGAGTTGCCACTGCTTCTCTGTCCCCCTCTTGCTGCTGCTCTGTAGGTGGAAGACTGGGTTTCTAAGGTATGGGCTGAGTGAGTGAAAGGGCAGTCCACAGGAACAAGGACAGGAAATGTTTGGTGTGTCCACAGCAGAAGCGTTGAACAATCTGGCTCTTCCACCGGCTAACAAAATAACCCCCAACCTAAATTTCATTCCCTCCCTCTCAAGTCCACCTTTAGATTCTGTCTAACTAGACTCATGCTCAGTAGCTGAGCTCACCTTTTCCCAGCTTGATGCCTGTGCCTGCATAGTAAAGACTCAGTGTGTGTCCTTTGGGAAATTTACCAAACCCTACTTGGTCAAAGCCTGCTGGGTTTGCGTTCTTTGGATCTGCAGAGGGCTTAACTATTTATTATCTTTCTTTCCTTCTCTTACTAAGAAATGGTATAACATCTTCACCAAAAAGTTGAATAACAGCTAGGAAATCTTTACAAAAAAAAAGCAAGCTGGGGCGTTGCCTGGTTGAGAGTGCTTGTTGAGTTTACACAAAGCCCAACTCTAGTATTTATCAAACTGAGGCCAGGCATGGTGGCACATGCCTGTGATCCCAGCACTTGAGAAACTAGAGTTTGAGGGCAGCCAAGGCTATACAGTGAGTTCTAGGCCAGGCGGGGCTACATAGTATATGACCCTGTCTTTCTTTTCATTCTTAATTTTTTCTTTCCTTTCTTGCTTTTCTTCTATTCTCTCTCTCTCCCCTCCCTCCCTTCCCTCTTTTCTTTCTGCTTAGTCCCTCCTTTCCATCCTGAAAGATTCTGCTTCTGTTTTAAGTCCCAAACTCCAAAAAGTGCTCCCCTAAAGGGCAGACAGGATAAACACCGTGTCCTACACAGCAGACATGAGTCTATGAAGGAAATGGGGTTGTTGAAACTCAGCATTGTCCCAGTTAACCTAAACCAGCAGTACAGCAAAATCTGACGTCTAAAGCTGAACAGACGTTCCAGTTCTGTCCCTTTCCCCACTGTGTTCTCTGCTGTGCTGACCAACCCAGCTGTCCCCAGCTTTCCCCTCATGGCCCTCAAGGCCTTGACCTTAGTAGTCTCAAGTGCCTCGTCATTGTGTGGATCTGCGAAAGGACCTGTGAGCCTTTCTGACTGCAGGGTGGTTGCTGTCATGCTCTAGCTAATTTAAACGGGTTTGGGGAGGATGGCCCGGGAGGTCCTTGGACGTGAAGGTAATGAGCACAAATGTTTGTGCGATCCGATCACAAACATTTTCTTTCCTTCCTGGGAGGCTCCGAGCGCGTGGCCGAGTGGGGGGCTCCGTGTGTGCATGGCTGCGTGGGAGGCTCCGAGGCTCCGTGCCTGTGTGGCTGCTGGGGGCGGGGGGGGGGGAGGCTCCTTGCTCTGTTGGCTGCTTGGGAGGCTCTGTGCGTGGCTCTGTGCGTGCGTGGCTCCGTGGAAGGTTCTGTTCGTGGAAGGTTCTGTGCGTGCGTGGCAGCGTGGGAAGCTCCATATGTGGCTGCATGGGAGGTGGTGCGTAGCTGCGAAGGAGTCCTGGCTTCCAGTTTCTGCTCTGCACAGCACCACACTTGCCTCAGCTTCTCAGCCACATTCGCCCTCTGACTGTCACGTGCTCTTGCCGTCCTCCCTTCGCATGCCCACACAGCATCTCATCCCTACTGGGGCCCTGGAGCTGTTGGTCTGGCACAGGCTGTGACATACAGTGGAGAGAGTGTCTAGGTGGATGAACCCGGGATGGGGCCGTAGGAGGAGGTTTGGCTGCTTAGAAAATAATGTAGGGAGCCGGAGAGAATCTGATAGAACTGCATATTACCTAGAGGGAAGGAGGTGGTCTCTCAAGGAAATTACACGGTCCTGATTTTCCTTTATTCTCTCTCTTTACCCCAACCCCCACACTCCACTGGGTGACTCTATTTTGGGTCACTTCACAGCTGGTACGTGACAATGCAGATTTGCGTTGTGAGCTTCCTAAACTGGAAAAACGACTTAGGGCTACGGCTGAGAGAGTTAAGGCCCTGGAGGGTGCACTGAAGGAGGCCAAGGAAGGCGCCATGAAGGACAAGCGCCGGTACCAGCAGGAGGTGGACCGCATCAAGGAAGCTGTGCGCTACAAGAGCTCCGGCAAGCGGGGCCACTCTGCCCAGATTGGTGAGTGGGTGTCAGTAGGTGAGGCCTTATCACCACCTGGGGCGAATCCAGCCAGTTCCTCGGTACTCAGTACTTGCTTCTAGCCCCAGCCTTCCCACCAAAGGGTGATAACATCATTTTGCTGGTGTTGACCTTGGGACCAGGGGAAACTCAGGGTAACTAACCAACAGCTTTCCCAGTTGTTTCTTCTCTTTCACAGCTAAGCCTGTGAGGCCTGGCCACTACCCAGCCTCCTCACCCACCAACCCATACGGCACCCGGAGCCCGGAGTGTATCAGTTACACCAACAACCTCTTCCAGAACTACCAAAACCTGCACCTGCAGGCTGCACCTAGCTCCACCTCAGATATGTAGTGAGTGACCATGGGTGTGGCTAGAGTTCCAGCACAAGGCCACCTGGGACCTAGAAGCCATAGGGTGGTGTCAGCTCTTGGCTTATCTAAATTTAATTATTTTCCTAAATCACATGGCTTTGAGCCCTTTCCTTGGCTTTCTGCGTGTGATTAGGAGATGGGCGCCCTCTTCCCTGTCCATCTCCGCAATTATCCGTTTCTTTCCTTGCAATGGACAGGATGAGTGTTTGGGAGGAGTGTGGGCATGGTGATTCTCAAAATGGGTAGGACAGAGACTGCATCTCTATTCTGTCCCCTCCAGCTTTGCTAACTCCTGTGCCAGCAGCGGAGCCACATCTGGTGGCCCCTTAGCTTCCTACCAGAAGGCCAACATGGACAATGGTGAGTGACAAAGGTCTAGCCTATGGGATCCCCGGGGTAAATTGAGAGGTGTTTATGGCAGATTAACAGAACCTTTCTCCACGCCAGGGAATCAAATAATGTCGGGGTGGAGCTCAGTAGTGGAACACTTGCTTAGCGTGGTTGCTGCTCAGCACTCCATCCCTGGGATGGAGGGGGGAAGACAGCGGGGGGGGGGAGCCGTGGGGGGGGACGGGGACAACCACATGGGCCCACTGTCTGAGCTTTAGCCTTATGTAGATGTCCAGCCTAAACCAGGCTGGCCTGGAACTCAGAGATCACCTGCCTCTGCCTGACTGGTGCAGCTCTGAGGAGCTGAGGATGGAGTGCCCAGGTTTACCCATTTCTTAGAGGCATCAGGATGGGAGGATGGGAAGGGCTTTTGAAGTTTGTTCCTCACACCAGCCTTTTCTAACCGCGTGTTCTCAATGGTGTTCTCTTCAGGAAATGCCACAGATATCAACGACAACAGGTACCCAGACTCCACTAACCTGGGGTTCTCTTGGTGGGGACCAGGAAGAGTGAATGACTTTTCTCCACTCGGTCTTCCCTGCAACTTTGTGGGGAGGGGGGAATGAGACTCACTGTGGTCACTTCATGTCATCCCCTAGTCTAAGCCCCTTCCTGTTCCAGTTATGACACCTTGGGGAGAATGCTGTGCGTATCTGGTATTTTCTCTCCTGTTTTTGGGAACTTTCTGATCTTGGGCAAGGCTTTCTGAGAAGCAGGCATCTTCCCTGCCCTGCCCTTGTCTATGTCACAGGCATGCTATCAGGGCACTGACCGAGGCAGGAATGGAGCTGACTGTCCTATGTCTCTTTCTTCAGGAGTGACCTGCCATGCGGCTATGAGGCTGAGGACCAGGCCAAGCTTTTCCCTCTCCATCAAGAGACAGCAGCCAGCTAACTCCCATTCCTGGCTACCAATATGCACTTTCAGGTAGTTTGAGGCAACTTCCCTCTCTGGCCCTGGTCTCTTCTCTTGATTCTTTTCTCTTTATATCATTTTGAGAGAGAGAGAGAGTGTGTGTGAGAGAGAGAGAGAGAGAGTGTGTGTGAGAGAGAGAGAGAGAGAGTGTGTGTGTGTGTGTGTGTACTCAAATGTGCACACAGGCCAGAGGTTGGTAGGGTGTCTTCCTCCATCACACTGCACCTTATTCTTAGAGACAAGGTCTCTCACTGAAACTGGAGCTTGCTGTTTTGGCTAGGCTGGCTGACTGTCCCCACCCCCATCTGCCTGTTTCTGTCCCCCAGTGCTGGGGTGACAGACTGGCTTTCCTGTGTGTGTTGGGGATCTGAGCATAGTCCCCGGTGCCTAGGACTGAGACATCTCCCCAGCTCCTCCCCTTTTACTTTCCTTAAACCTCAGAACCTTTCAACTCCTGCCAAGCTGGGTATAGTGTCACATGCCTATAATCCCAGCACTCAGAGGCAGGAGGATCATGAGTTCAAAGGAATCCTGGGGTAGTGAGACCCTGTATCAAAAACAAACAAAAACATTGACTAAGAACCCCACATCACACATCAGCTCGCTTTCCCTTATGGAGGTTAGATCCAGCCCAGACCTCCCATGCACCCTGATGCCAGCGCCCTTGGGTGCTGGTGGTAACAGCAGTACTGATTTCCACCTCTAGGGGTCACTGTCACACATCTTTTAAAAATGCAAAGGCTGCCCAACAGCTAGAGCCACAGATCTTAGGTAACAGGAGAGCTTGGGAGAACATCCCATCATGCCTCTCCTCCACCGTAAAATAATCTTAGAAACATGGAGATGTTTTGAACTAAGATGCCTCATGTAAAGGTGATGATGTCTGCTTGATTCTGCTACCAAAGACTATGATGCTGTCTGACTCTTGGTCCCTCCAGCTAGTGACAACAGTACTCTCCATACCATTCACCGGAAACGAAAACCAGCTGCCTTCCATCTCCATCCCCTCTAACTTCCACACCTCTCTCTTGCCAAGTTCTTTGCAGCAACAGGACCCCTCCCCCCCTTCCTGGTGTCACCAGGGTTTTTGCCATGGTTGCTTTAGACCCCCCAGATGGACAGTGGTATTTTGTGTCCACATTAGATCCTTACCTGACTCAAGATCAAGAGAAAATACCAGTCTGTTGCTGGGCTACACTAGGCTGAGCCCTCCCAGGCTCTTCCAGAATAGTGGTTCATCCAGAAAAGCACGAGGAGGAGAGAACTGGAGAGGGGAAGAGGAGAGAACTTGGGATGAAGAAGCAGGGGTTGGGCTGGCTGGGGGTGGGGTAGCTTTGGCGTTAAAGGAACAGAATTGTAAACCAAAGTGTGTGCCTATGCTGTCTGTTCCTCCACCTAGCCTGGGCTCCCTCCGGCTGATTCCTCATGCCGCCTTCTTTCTCTTTCTTTCCCAGTTTCTAAGAGGGACTGAGGCCTCTTCTCTCAGCATGCTGCAAAACCTGTGGTCTCTGATACTAGCTCCCTTCCCAGCCCGTGTTGTTGGACTGTCGATGTCTCCTCTTACTCCATATCCCTTTGTATTCTGTATCTATACACGAGAAGCTGCTGCTGCTGCTGCTGTGCCTCTCCTCTCTCTGTGGTACTCTCAGTATCTATCTGGTGACGTGTTTAACAGGTTTTAAGCATAGTCACCCCTCCTCGTTTGGCGTTAGTGAGGAGGGAAGTGTCTTCCTCTTTTCTTTCATATACTCGTTTCTTACACTGTTACAAGATGATAAAGAAAAAATGGGAGCTGGGAGGCTGCGCTCCTTGCTCCCACACACACATGTACATGCACGCACACACATATATACAGTGTACATACAAAGCCTTAAGCAGAAGAATGTCTTAGCATCTATGAAAAGAGAGAAACAGACCCCCCCTCTTTACACAGAGCACAGAGGAGGACCCAGCAGAAGGGTTGCTAAATCATGCCCCCTCCATATACCCCTCACCTGAGTCAGGAGATTGTGGGAGCTTACTTCCGTCCATGAAGTCTGCTTTCTGCTCCCTCCTTCCAAAGTCTGAGAGCATAGATTGCTCAAGGGGCTATTTCCCTCTCTGGCCCAACCCTCTTTCGATACTTTCTACTCCAGGTATCTCAACCAGAACTTAGAGTTGACTTAAAAAAAATATTCTGAAAGATTGAGAAGGTGGACCTCTGAGAAATGGTTGCTCATCTGTCTGTGCCCATAGTGCCAATAGTTACAAGTGAGCAGAGTCAGAAATGGTGGGTTACCTGGGTCTGGGGCGTGAACAGGCTGGGAACTACCACGTGGTTTTCTATTGCAGTGCCCTTGGGTTGAAGCTCACTCTTTCTCTTTTTTGGGCTGCCCGTGCTCCCACTTCTGACTCTGGTTTGGGGCTTCCATTTCATTGACATAATAGCTGTTTCTAGATGCCTTCCCTTGGAGCTGGAGTCTGGCTTTTTTCCCAGTTTACCTTCCTCCCTGCATATAGTTCTTTCTGCACTCTCCATCTGGTACCAAGTGCACTTTCAAGACGAGGCAGGGCTAGGGGGCGCTGCATAGTGGCAGATGGGCTTCCCTTATCGCATGAAAAAGCCCTGGTTTTGATCCCCAGCACCTCAGAAAAAAAGCCTGGCATGGTGGTGCTCACATTTGCAAATGTAGCTCTCAGGAAGCCAAGGTAGGAGAATTGCTAAATTTGAGGCTAGCTTGGAGAGTATGCAGTCGTTTCCAGGATAGCTTGAGCTATGGTGAGAAACTCTGACTCAAAACAAAGAAAAGAGAAAGGGACAGGTCAGATTTTTCAGAGGTGATAGAGGCAGAGGGCTTGAACCTAGAGCTCTCCCTACAGCATTCTTAGCCTAGGTCTCCCACCTCCAGCAGTCAAGAGGACCTTGCTTTAGTTCAGGTAGCTCTTTCCTCCCATCTGCTAAGGTGATAATTGCAGAAACAGAGGTCACTACACAGCCTAAGCCAAGAAATACAGCCGAGCATCCAGATACCTGTGACTCTGTCACAGCAAGGCAGCCTGTCGTCCAGCTTCCAGGGCTAAAAGGAAAACTGTGTGGGTGACTGCTGGTAAACACCAGCTGTCGTGGCTGTGACTCCTTCAAGGGAAAGTTTCTGCTTTTTACCTATTAAGGGACGACAGAGATGGAAACAGGTATCAGAGTGGTGCCGGGGAGGGGGCGGGGTCCAGAGTGGCAATTGTCAAACACTTTTTAAAAATAAGTCTTATGTAGGAAGACATAGAAAGTAACACAGGGCTTTGGTGGTGGCTTAATGGTACTGTGCTTGTTCAAGATACTTAGCATGACAAGGGCTCAGGGTCTCATCTATTTCTTGAACCGCAAAAAAAAAAAAAAAAAAAAGAACCAAAATGGTGAAGTAATTCAGAAGTTTATATAATTCCCAGTGGAAAATGCTTAATTAGTTGAAGGGCCCTGAAACAGTCCTAAGAGTTTGGAAATCACTTATTTGTAAGAGGGGAGGTCCAGTGTGGTTCCTCTACCCTAAAACCACAACTCCAAAGAAAGAACAGATAGGCCACACCGCCATCTCAGACCCAGTGGGTGGAGGAGGAAGACCACATCCTACATCCTGTCTGTGGCCTCAGGCCTGCAGGACACCTGAGAAGCTGAGGGAGTCTGTGTGATCTTACCACCGGACAGATTCTTTCAAAAAACAAGGAAATGGGAAGATACACAGGAGAGCAGAGAGAGGGGCGACACATCCTTCTCTTCAGCAAGATGTAAGGGGAAGTGCGGCTTCCTTATGCTAGCGAGAAACAACCCCTACACCAGTAACTTCTCACCACACTGTCCCTCCCCACATTCACTACACCCTTCTCAGAGAGCCAGGTCACCAGGAGGGCCACCTGGCCCACCCACTCACATCTGCCAAAATGTTGCATGCCAGCGTGGAAGACAGACCAAACCGCACAAATCCCAGTGTGTATTTACTTGGTGGACACAGATACCTTTAAAATAAAATAAATCCAGTGACAACTATGTTGTTGCTTTTTATTTATTTTTTAAAAAGGGGTTTTTGCTTGTTTGTGTAAGTGTGTTGCAGGCGCATGTGTTTATGTACCATGTGCGTGCCTGGTACCCCCTGGAGGCTGGGAAAGGACATCCCCTGTTAGTCAAGCCCTCAGGAACTGGAGTTACAGATGGTTGAAAGCTGTGATTTGGGTGCTGAGAACCAAGCCCTGATCCTCTGACGAAGCAGGAAGTGTTCTTAACCACTGAACCGTCACACTAACCCTGTGTGGTGCTTTGAAAATGGCCCCTGAAGCCTCGTATGTTTGAATACTTTTTCCCCAGTTGGTGGAACTGTTTGGGAAGGATGAGAAGGTGTGGCCCTGGTGGGGGAGGTGTGCCACTGGGGGCTGACTTTAAGGTTTCAAAAAATGCACAGCATCCTCTCTGTCTCCTGCTTGTGGATCTCCTGCTTGTCATCTCTCAGTTACTGTTCTAGCACCATGTCTTCCTGTTTGCTACCGAGTTCCCTGCCATGATGGTCATGGACTCCAACCCCCTGGATTCACAAGCCCCAGATTAAATGTTTCTTTTATAAGTTGCCTTGGTTATGATGTTTTGTTACAACAATAGAAAGTTTTTGGGTTTCTTTTTCAAAACATGGTTTCTCTGTGGCTTTGGAGGCTGTCCTGGAACTAGCTCTTATAGACTAGACTGGTCTCGAACTCACAGAGATCCACCTGCCTCTGCCTCCCGAGTGCTGGGATTAAAGGCGTGAGCCACCAACGCCCCGCTAACAATAGAAAGTAACTAAGACACTTTGTCTTTATTTATTGAAACAGGGTCTCATGTAGCCCAGTGGCCTCACACTCACTATGTTTGAGAATCTGTCTTTGAATTCCTGACTCTCCTCCCAAGTATTGAGATGACAGGTGTGGGCCTTCATGCCCAGCCGAAAATCTTTCTCCTCCAACCTCCCTCCTCCCAAATTTATAGTTAATACAGATATATTACACATATATGTGCACAAATACACGTATTCACACACATATCCTTGCAGGTATTTATGTATCTGAATATGTAAATACGCAAATATTTATGCAGGTTTGCATCCTTACAGATGTTTTTCCACATTTCTAGAATATGTGGACATTTTCCCCCTCGACCATACATTCATGACAAGTGTATATCTACTTGGTAAAAAGTATACAAATACACATCTATAGTTTATTCAACCATCCCACTACTGATGTATATCTAGGTTGTCTATAAATGTTAACAAAACTTGTATCCTGTTCTCTTCATGTTTTTAGCAAATCAGTCCTTCATCAGGTCTTCCCCCCCCTCCAGCATATGTCTGTCCTTCCCTTGACAACAGTTCCACTCTGCTATCCCAAGATCAGCTCCAACCACCACTCTTATCTCTGCTTCTCCTCTCAAGGCATCTATGCTGGAGGAAACTACAATCAGACTGTTGGGGCTACTGAAGATGTTTGCAGACACATTTGGCCCTTGGTGCAGCTCAGAATCTCCCCACCTCCCTGTGTTCTGTTTAGTTCCCCTGCCTACCTTCCAGAGCACCTGGCTTACATCCCAAGTCTCCTAGGTCCCCTCCAATCTCCTTTTGGAGACAACTTTGCTTCTGATTTAAAGGGACTCAAGTGCAAAATCTTTCATTGCATGACATTTCCTTGGGAGATATGAACAAGTGTCTACTCACCCCAGATAGGGAACCAATGGCAGACCAAAGTAGTTACCACCATTGGAGTTACAGGAATATGAGTGAGGTCTTACAGGAGCAGACATGACTCAGAGTTGCATCACCAAACGCTCACCCTAGCTCCAGAATCCTGCAAACATCTCTACAGGTCGGAGGGTATCTCCAGACAGCTCAGCTTGTCTGACAGTGTCTCTTAGCAGTCCTTATTGCTTATATATGCTTGGGGAGGGAGGGGCCTAGTGTATCTGCTCAGTTTGGGAGACTTCCTGAACCTTCCCATTAGAATGAGCATCCTGTCTTGAGTTTCTTTCCCAGGGGAACTAAACATGGAAGGTTTTATCTTGAAAGTATTGCTTCAACATCCCCCCCCACACACACATCTACATGCTTATATATGCAGGTGCTATGCTGTTATTTCCTCCAAATTTAGACATTATCTCTTTGAGAGAGGAAGGAAGATAAATAATTTATTAGGCTCCAAAAACTGTAAGGAAAGCCTGGCACTTGGAAGGCAGAGGCAGGCAGATGTGAGTTCCAGGACAGCCTGGGATATGTCTCACAAGAAATAAAAAAGAAAACTAAGGGAAATTACAAAACTTAGGATTCTGGGAAAGTTACAGCAGCTGCAAGGCCTCCGGCCATGGTTGTGTCAGTAGCAGAGGACTCCCCCCGGGAGAGGAGATTTCTGTGGCTTTGCCTGCAGGGAGGAGCTCCTGAGAGGCAGCTTCTGAGTGTCATTGCTTGTTTTTTTTTTCCCCCGCTGACACATCTGCCTCTGAGTCACTCTTGCAGCCCTTCACCCATGCTTCACTAACTGCCTCCCCCAACCAAAAAACCATTAGGAGTTCACCAAGCTAGACTTGGGTGCAATCGTTTCTTCAATCTAGACAGAGTGAATATGCATTTGTTCACATCCTGAAAAGCCACACAACTGGGCCCCAAAAGGGACCAGCAGAGTCAAATATAAGTTGAGGAGGAGCAGTACATGGTCCCAGTGAGGGGTGGTAAGGCAAGTAGCCAAGGATGATCTGTCTGGGGTGGAGACCCTGAGATGTCTACCTTTTCCCTGTGGTTTGGGCTGGCATGCTTCCTGGCTGTAGTGGCACCTATGTTCTTTCTGTTATCTGTGATAAGACATGTAACCAAGGCCAAGGTATCTGAAGATGAGGCATCACTGGGGGTGTGGGATCCCAGGGTGGCCGTCTTGTCTTCCTCCGTGATGAGTGGGGCCCTGTACATGTGTATAGATGTATAAGATGTATTACGAATCCCTAAAGTAGCACAATAGAGCAGAATCCTGAGTAGACTGTTGTGGCGGCTACATGGCGTTTACTGTAGGTGATAAGCAACACAACTGTGGTTTGGCTGTCTGTCCAGAAAGAAGTTACGATGTTAGGGGGTTATCAGAGTGGAGAGAGAGAGAGAGAGAGAGAGAGAGAGAGAGAGAGAGAGAGAGAGAGAGAGAGAGCGCAAATGATCAGATGCTATCCTCTGCTGAGCTCTGATGTAGCAGAAAAAGTAGAAAAAAGGGGAGGGTGAGATTGGGGTGTCTGCTTGCCATTTCTTATAGAAGTTTGGCCGAAATCATAAAGTAAAATTTATATCTGCAGTAAAGAGCTTTTCCAGGACAAAAAAAAAAAAATTCTTAGAGCCTGTCAGGGGAGAACAGAGAGTGAGGAAGGGGAGTGAGATAGGAGGGGTAGAAGGTGTCCCCTGATCTGACTCTTAATTCAGAGGAAGGAGCAATGCATGAGTCAGCGTGAAGATGGCTCCTTTATAAACGTCTCACAATACAGAAGCCCTGGTAATGAAGGGATTGCTATGCGGCTGAGTTGCTGGGATTGGTACAGAATTGGAAACAAGAAATGAAAGTGCTGTTCACAGCCTGGCTGGTGGAACTGTGGGACATCTGGGAAAATGCAATCTGCGAGGCAGTAGTTTTTATCACACACACACACACACACACACACACACACACACACACACCATACTATACTTTTACATAATATATAGTGATAAATATACAGTATGTATATATTATATATTTACTTACTTAGGATTTTTGAGACAGGGTCTCGTTGTGTAGCCCTGGGTGTCAGGGAACTCACTTTGTAGACCAGGCTTGAGGTCACAGAGATCTGCCTGCTTCTGCTTCCTGAGTTTCATGACTGTCATGATACAGGACAGCTCCAGTGAAGAGGAATGGCTTACACTAGTGTGCAAACTGGACTTACAAAGTGCTAAGGCAATTTTGTAAAGAAAGAAGAAAGAAAGAAAAGAAAAGGAAGAGTGCATGTCTTTAATCTCAGCACTTGGGAGGCAGAAGCAAGTAGATCTCTGAGTCAAGGCCAGCCTGGTCTACAGACAGAATTTCAGACTATCTAGGAACTACGTGGTGAGACTGTATTTTAAAAAAAGGGGGGGGAGTTGCGAAGGGGGCATGTGAAAGGAAGAACAAGTGGACAGGGGCTGTGTCTTTGTCACTTAGACAAATGTATCAAGATTTGTATGGATCCACAACTCATGGGGGCTGGGAACAATCAGAAGTCCAAGTCAGTACTTGTGAGTCTCCAGTCTAGAAGGATCGGAAGTGCCAAGCACCAGGAGGTGGTGGTGACACACACCTTTAAATCCAGCACTTGGGAGACAGAAGCAGAGGGATGTCTGAGAATGAGGCCAGCCCGGTCTGCAGAGTGAGTTCCAGGACAGCCAAGAGTGTTACACGGAGAACCCTGTCTAGAAACCCCCCCCCCAAAAAAAAGGAAAAAGAAAGTGTTGAGCAGCAGTTTACCAAAGGGTGAAAGAATAACAGAGCAGTGCAGGTGAAAGACGCTAAGCTTGTGCTGGAGGTTGGTGGGGCATAGACTGTAGACATTTCCTCTCAAACGGTGCATTCTGGGGGTGGAGTCTTTGCTTAGCCTGGGACCCTTAGCAGCTAGATGTGGCTGATGGAGAAGCTGTGGCCACAAGGCTGTTAGAGCTCGGGAGCCAGCTCTGGGAGCAGGCATGGCAGCGGCAGTCCTCCAGGATGAGGACAGATGGCTCATGGGAAAGGACTGTGGACCATGGAGGGCTAGATGGAGGCATATCCTCCATCCATGCCACTGTACCCAGCACTGGCATTTTGATGGAGAAATTTTCATGATATATTTATTGTTCCTTGCTAACAATTTCTTAAAAAAAAAAAAAAAAAAAAAAAAAAGTGTTCTGCCTGCATGTATCCCTGCAGGCCAGAAGAGGGCACCAGATCTCACTGTAAATGGTTGTGAACTGCTGCATGGTTGGTGGGAATTGAACTCAGGATCTCTTAAAGAGCACCCACTGCT